CACGTGAGCGCTTTTTCTGGCCCAAGATGAGACAGGACATTGAACATCATTGTGACCAGTGTCTGTTGCTGCCTGAAGAGAAAGAAGCCGAACAGAGTCACCCGAACACCAATTCAAAGTATTGAAACATCAGCCCCATTCGAGATGGTGTCTATTGACTTCCTGCACTTGGAGAAAAGCAGTGGAGGAGAAGAGTATATTCTTGTGCTGGTGGACCATTTCTCCAAGTATGCACAGGCCTATGCCACAAAAGATAAGTCGGGGAAGACTGTGGCCAAGAAACTCTTTGATGATTTCATTCTGCGCTTTGGCTTCCTTTCAAGAATCCACCATGACCAGGGTAGGGAGTTTGAAAATCAGCTCTTTCGTAAGCTTGAGAGTTACTCTGGTGTACGACATTCCCGCACGTCTCCCTACCATCCGCAGTCAAACCCGGCAGAACGTTTCAACCGGACGCTGCTTGGCATGCTGAGGACACTGGCGGAGACCGAAAAGACACACTGGAAAGAACATCTGAGTAAAGTGGTCCACGCCTATAACTCAACTGTCCATGAAGCTACTGGGTTTTCTCCATTTTTCCTCCTCTTTGGCCGTGAACCAATTCTGCCCATTGATCTGCTCATCCCTCGTAAGAGGAAGGGGGAGAAGGAACACCAGTCTCCCATTGCCTATGCAGAGAAGTGGAGAGAAGCTATGCAACAGGCTTATGCCATAGCCATGGAGAACATGTGGAAGTCAACCAGAAGAGGGCAGCGGTGTTACAACCAATGCACATGGAGTTCTACTCTACAGCCTGGTGATCATGTGCTGGTTCGAAATCTGGCTCCCAGAGGTGGTCCTGGAAAGCTGCGGAGTTATTGGGAGGAGGACATCTATGTGGTCAGAGAAAGGAAGGGTCCCGACAGCCCTGTTTATGCAGTTGAGCCTCTGCAAGGTGTTGGGAGAAGACGTGTGTTACACCGCAACTTGTTGTTGCCTTGCCCTTACCTGGTGAATGAGCCACCAGGAGATGTTCCACAGCCTGCCCCACACCGAGCTCGGACAAGGAGAAACCAGACACTCGAACCAGAGCTACAGCAAATTGACACTGAAAACTCAAGTGAGGAGGACTTTGAAATTTGGATGGCTCACCAACCAGTCCCACCACGTGACAGAGCAGCTGCAGGAGAGCCCATGCTAAGAGAGTCACAAAATGACAGAACTATGCCTGCACTTCAGCCAGAATCGATTGGTCCTGACAGTCCTGGAGGTGTGCCTGGGCCCCAGGACGATCCCCAAACTTCTGCCACTGAGTCGGAAGAAGAGCAGAGAGAACTCACTGCCGCACCACAAAGACCTGTGAGAGCAAGACAGCCGAGGCGTCTGTACACCTATGAGCAGTTAGGCAAGCCATCTGTTCGAGAGCTGCACAGCTGTCCCATTGGTGTGAGAGGAGCTGAAGGGGTCCCAGACAACTACAGGAGACCCTACATGTATCCTTTTTCACGTTATTGATATGGGAAGGGTTATTTCTAAATAGTGGTTTAGTGATTGTGGTTTAACAGTTGGTAAAGCACATGTTAACAGTAGTACAGTGGTATGGGTACAAAGTTTAAATATCCTAATGGGAAAGTACCTAGTAAACTGATGGGGTATGGTATGATCATGTAATTACATGTTTTCGGTGAAAAGAGTATTTTCCTTGTCCCATTGTGTGAAGATTGGGGGGCCCACTGATTCTTTACTGGACTGTACACCCTTGATGCAAATGGACTAAACGCAGAGTCATGTATCATTGCCATAATATAAGGAGTAAAATCTTAACGAGAGACATTTTAAATTAATTATGAAATGTGCAATAGTGTGTAATACTTACCATGGTTCTTACTAGTTGACGCAGTCTTTTATTATTGTATTTTGTTTCACTTTGGTAAAATGTAAAAAAAATGGAACTAAAAAAAATATGGGGAGCACTTCTCTTTTCAGTGGGGGAGGGTGTAGCCCATCTATATAATATATTTTGATGGCATGTAAAATTATGTAGTATTTATCAATTACAGTATATGCTCTGTTAATTTATTAAATTTGAATGTAATTAATACACTGTAGCATCGAGACCAGCCAGGAAATGGGTGGTGCCAATAGTTGGGGGTCCAACTATAAAAGTAGGTCAGACACGCCCATCCAGGTGTTGTGAGTGTGGCCTGCGCTCAGGTGTTGTAGCCCTGCGTGCCTCGCATGTAATGAACCGCTTTGATAAAATAAACGTTGCAAAACGGAACTATTCGCCTGGATTATTTAAGAGTGCAACATATTTAATGTCAACAAACATCGTTAGTCGTTAATGATTCATTTATGTTTAGGTAAACCACAAACAACAATTTAGCTTTGTAACAAACCTTTGACGAAGTGTTCACTGCAGACACGAGCATTTGTGGATTCTGCTCCTCCCGACCGCAAACGTAGGTTTGTAATAGAGCCCGACCGATATATCGGTTGGCCGATATTATCGGCTGATATGGGCAACTTTAGGCATATCGGCTATCGGCCGATGCTTGCTGATAGGGGCCGATATTTCACATGGGCATGTTATACCTCGTTATAAAGCTTAGACTCTCTACATTCTGTTCATTTAATCCAATTTACAGACAGATAAATGTCCTAATATGTGGCTCCACATATCTGCGTAACAGTAAGTACAGCAACACTTACAAAACAACTCAATTATAAAACAAAAATGGCCAGAAATAACAGAGGAAATATACCCTTGACCTTAAACCATGACCTTAAACTAAAGAACTGTGGTCTTCGAAAGCAAATTGCCAAAAAAGATGAGCACAATGAGCGGCGATGGTGGCCCTCGCCCCGGCGCGCACCGCCCCCCCACGCGACCTCCGGGGACTCGCGACCGCCCCGGCACGCCACCCTCTCTTCCCGACATTCGCCCAGGTCGACAATGACGCATTAGTGATTCAAATTTCAGCACAATCGGACTAAGCCTGTGGGTGGAATCATTTTTTAACAATTTTTTGGGGGAGTCTTTGCGCCCCTGCTGGCCAGTGGTGGAAAATGCATCATGTCCGTAATAGACTTTTTTGCTTGTCATCATGCATAGAATTTAATTTCCGAATTTGGTCCAAATCCGATAATGTTGACGTTTCATGTCTATGCTAGGGGGCGCTATAGAGTTCATTTTTCATATGTTTTATAGTGTATTATGTTTAGGCCGTGATCAGGCATTAGTGATTCAAATTTCAGCACGATCGGACTAAGCCTGTGGGTGTAATAATTTTTTTACTATTTTTTGGGGGTCTTTGCGCCCCTGCTGGCCAATGGTGGAAAATGCATCATATCCGTAATAAACTTTTTTGCTTGTAATCATGCATAGAATTTAATCCCCGACTTTGGTCCAAATCCGATAATGTTGACGTTTCATGTCTATGCTAGGGGGCGCTATAGAGTTCACTTTTATTAAATTTCATATTTCATCACATTCAGGCCTGGATCACGCAATTGTGATTTGAATTTGAGCTCTCTAGGACAATGCCTGTGGCCGTGACAGGTCACCGAAAGAACAGGAAATGAAGGCGTTTTTCGGCGGCGTGCTACGGGCGAACCGTAAGGAGTATTCCAAAAAAAGTTTAAAATTTCTGTGAGTTTATGTCTGTAGATGTGACATGTCAAATCTGAGCTCATTTGGACCAAACCCCGGGGACTTGAATCTTTTTGTAGACACCCAAGTCAAAACGGCGCCAAATGTTTGATCCAATATGGCCGACTTCCTGTTCGTCATAGGGTCATGCTCCAATCAAGCCCCCAGGTTCCAAAATGGCCGCCCATTCAAGTCAATGGGCTGAGCTCAATGGCGCATGATCCCAGATTAGCCTAGCCCGGCTAGGTACTTCCGGCGGCTGTGGGCTGACCGAGCATGCGCACTAGTGCTCTTTTCTCCCACAGGCACACGCGAATGCACGCGACCGCACGCACGGTGCACGGGCTCGTGTGTCACGTGATCGCTTTGACCAATCAGAGTGAGAGGAGTTAAAGCGGAGCAGAGCATAGCCGAAGCTAACGAATATAAACTGTTTTTTAAGACAACTGAAGGATTTTGAGCTGAGAAAAAGTTTATGATCTTAAAATAGGTAAAAATCGCCAGCAAATCCAACATTTTTGAAAACGGTAGGTGATCTGTCAGACGAACACGAGCAGTTTGTGATTACATTGCGCTCTATGAGAAAAATCTTGTCTCGGCCCAGGGGATTTTTTCTGCTGAAGTTCCTGTGAGTGACCACTACGTCAACTGGAGGCAGCTACAAGCTAGCAATACTGTATCCAGTTATTTTAATAGATCCATGGCTCCAATTCATCTTTTGGCTTGTCTCATTGTTCTCTATCACTGTCCCGAATTTCGTTTCCCTGCGACAAACTTTGTTTGTCCCTAGTCCCATAGGGGTCGAATTCTAGGTGGCGCTGTTGAGTCGGGTCACTCGGGTCATTGTTGCGATGCCCATTTTATCGAATTTTTCGCCGGGCCGATCGATCTGGACCCCGGTTTGGGGACTTTTCGTCCATGTTCAGGGGGTCAAAAATGCGATCATTTGGTCGGAAAAGGGAATAAAAAATAAAAATAAAAAAAGAAACCGACGAAGAACAATACCCCTCGCCCCTAACTTTGTTAGTGGCGAGGGCCAATAATAGAGCGTAAGAAACCGGCGAAAAACAATACCCCTCGCCCCTAACTTTGTTAGTGGCGAGGGCCAATGATTCAATGAGGTGTGTGTCAAGTGTTCTGAGGAAGAGCCTGAGAACTGTGGGAACTGATGAGAAATGCCCGAAAGAATTTGACAACCGATGCCCCTGTTCAGAGACATGTTTGAACCAAATAATCAAATTGAACCAAGTTTCAATGTTGTTAAAAACGATTAAACGCAGTTCAGTTGTTGGTCAGATGATGATTTTAGTGGCATCTAGTGGATAATGTCAGTCATTACAAAGGTCGGCAATGATATTTACTTAAAATGAGGTCTGTCAGGCCTACACAGATCCTGTCTCAAGTCTACTTGGTCATTTTAAATTGGAATATTTTACCTTTAAATCTGATCATAAAATATGCAACATTGCTCATAACATGTAGCTACGCTATTTTGTAAGATGGGACTTTGATCCAGCTTCCTGCGAAACAAGGAACAAGGAAGTCCAACCGTGACTCGCCTACTCGTCTCTCGTTTAACAATTTATGGTTTTAAAGCAGGAATAGATTGTTGGAGAGACTCTTCTAAATGCAACGCATCAGTGAAAGCGCGCGGACGCACAGGTATGGACTCCCACAGCTAATCATAGTAAAAATGTATGTAGGTTATTAGAATACATGTCAATTTTGATGGTAGGCCAAGTAAAATGATGTTATCTTAAGTTTTATTTGTCTGGGCTATAATAGGCTAGAGAAGTTACGTTATAAATATGTTTTGTGAGATAGGCCATTTATTTTATTTGATTTTAAACTTGTACTGATTAAAACGAAATTTTCAGGGGTTACTGTGTCAACACAATACTGCATGTAAAAGAAAACCCGTAAGATAACAGTGGGGAGTTTGAACCTGAAGGTTAGGGAACCCTATAATAGTGTTTGATAGTTTTATACCATCACTCAATACTGCACTTTGCCTTATTGTATTATGGGGGAGTGTTCGATTCAGTTTGACCTCCATAGGGTATACAATTAACTAACTTGTATCAAAGTTGAAATATTTTCATTATACACATGCATTACTGACCAGGAAAATAAATTAAGTAATTTTTTTTGTACTAAAATGAGAAAATAATAATGTAAAAAGGGAAGTCTGAAATGGAAAGGCCTTAATTTCCAAACCACACTCTTATCTTATCTTATGTTAGATATTGTGTCGTTCCTTGTTCCTTTTGCCTTAACTAATTATTAACATTCACTTTATAATGTCTGTCTGTGTTTTCGGTGACGCCAGCTCTGTCGCAATGGAGTACTACAAGGCGGCAATGTTGCTGAGTGGTGTTGGTGATGCTCTGGGATACAAAGGGGGTGAGTGGGAGTTCAATTTCTCTGGACCAGACATTCTCAAGGTTAGTACCATTTTGAACAGATCTATTGACAGTTTGTGGAAGATGCTGACATTGCAGATGTTTTAGGAGCTGAAACAGATGGGTGGTCTGAAGAAAATCAAGGCCAAGCTCCCAGGCTGGCCTTTGAGCGATGATACAATTTTACATCTTGCAACAGCTGAAGCTTTAGCAACAGGTGAGATCAAAGTATCAATTTTATCATTTTGACAAGATTTTTTCTTAATAGACAAGGCATTGATTGCATTGATCATGTAGTCATTGTCATATGGATAAGACTCATCAACTAACATAGTGATCTATTTACTCTGAAATGTGTCATTATGATTCATTTAAAATTTCTACATGTTGTCACCAGGAAAGGAAGGAGAGGCTCTGCTGCACGAAGTGGCTGCTCTATATAAAAAAGGAATGCATGATATGAAAGACAGGGCACCAGGAGGAACCACTGTCAATAGTGAGAAAATAAATGATTATATATATTATAATATTATATATGTATGTATGTATGTATGTTTTTTGATAAAGTCTGATGTGTGTGTTTTTTTTAGGTGTGTCTAAACTCAGGCCTGGAAAAAAAGGGGGTTACCGGGTGCCCTACTGCCCAAGATCAGGGGGATGTGGAGCTGCCATGAGAGCCATGTGCATTGGTTTGAGGTGAGTGGTAGGACAGTACTATTTGTAATCATGAGTCTATTTGAGTTATAGACAAAAACAAGTCACTGAAGTTCAGAGCAAGCATACAAATCTGGATGGAAAGTCATTATGTGTTTTTTGGTCAGCTTGCAAAACGGCCTAAACCAAAAAAACAACCTACTCTGCTATGAAAGATGAAATATGTAATATGTAATTCAATCAACCTGCAACCATAGACACTGCATCTACCTCTGCCAGAGGAACGCAAGGATTACCCCTAAAAAAAAAAGGAATATCTAGTTCCAAGTCTCATCTACTCTGCTAGTATACTGAGTAGGTTGATGTAGGTTAAATGGGGCAAAAAACAGTTGCTGCTTGTGTTAATGTTATAATGTATACCAATGAAGTTCAATGACAATAACAGAGTACTCTTCAGGTATCCAAAGCCAAAGGAGTTGGAAACTTTAGTGGTGGTTGCCGTGGAAACAGGCAGGATGACCCACCCTCACCCCACAGGGTTCCTGGGGAGTGTAGCTGCGGCCCTGTTTACAGCATATGCCGTTCAGAGGAGACCCATGGAGTCCTGGGGGGTAGGACTCCTCAATGAAGCCTGTCCAGTTGCAAAGACCTATGTGAGGAGAGCAGACTTTGCTGTGAAAGAGACAGAGAGAGACTGGAACTACTTTATTGAGAAGTGGCAGAGGTAAGGAGCTCAGTAATGACTTTAGGTCCACTTTCATTCTACTGTACTTTAAAATGCGTATGACAGGTTTTCATGTTCTGTTTACTTGGTGTGGTGGCTTAGAACCTGTGGTAAATATTTAGCATAGTTTACATCATTTAAGAAACAGTTCGTGAAAAGAATTTAGACAAAATGTACAAAAATACAGGAAGAAGCAGTGAGTTAAATACACTTTACTATGTGCTACTACTACTTGTAAAATGTGTAGTCTAACATGAATGTCATAACATGAATAATTTCTCCACAGCTACTTGGATTTGCGTGGGCTGTCGAATGGGGTGGGCCCTGTGATTTGGCCTGATGCATATGGTCCTGCTGAGAGAGATAAAGCCTACAAGAGCTTTAGTTTCAGTGGCTGGGGAGGAAGCAGTGGTCATGATGCTCCAATGATCGCATACGACGCCTTACTGGGGGCAGGAGCGGACTGGGAGGAGCTTATGAACAGGGCAGCTTTTCATGGTGGTAAGTTAGTTTGCATAGCTTGAAACCTTCTATTGACCTTTATGCTTACTACTTAGGTTAGGACTGGGTAATTCAGCAATCTATCTTTTTTATCAAGAACATGATTTAGTCGCTTCAGACTGTCAATATATATTATATATACTGATGCAATATATATGATATGCTTGTTTTTTTTTTTAACTGAGAGGTCTACTAGCAAATCCTGTCAGTAAAAGAGTTCAGACTCTAAAGACAGAAATGTTACTGTTTTTTGTCTTAGCTGGCAATGATTAAAAGTGAAACCCATTTTTCATATACTTATGTATTTTTATTACATTTTTAAATAAAATAAAATAAAAATGTAAAAAAAAATTTACATATCGACCATTCCTAATACATGTTCACTTGAGCAAAATCTGTTTCTATAATCTAGACTCCAAAGGCATTGTCAGCCCAGGTTAAATAGAGTCTATATGTTGTCTGCAAATACAAAAAGTGTTTATTACAAGATATGTAAGTGAACTATTTCTTATTTCTGTTTATAGGTGACAGCGATAGTACGGCTGTGATTGCCTGCTGCTGTTGGGGCGTCTTATACGGCACAAATGGAGTCCCAGAAGGAAATTATGCCAACCTGGAGTACAGGGACAGACTGGAGAAATGTGGGGAGCAGCTGTATGCCCTTTCACACGGTTTCACATTTCCACAACACAATTCCAGTGCACAGGAGATGTGTATGAGCCAAAATGAGTTTGTGACTGTTGAACAATAACAGAGTACTCTTCAAGTTTAGCACGTTGTGTATTGTTTTTAAAGGATCCCCATTAGTCTCTGCAAGTGCACAGACCATTCTGCCTGGGGTCCACTCTCATTGAAGGCATAACATATTGACTGTACAACAGCAAATTACAGTAAAAATCAATTTATAACAGCAACTGCTATCATAAGAGGAATAGGCAGAACACGCATATACATAAGTTAACCACAATGCTTGCTTAGCATTCTTTTCTTGAGATGTTTTTTTTAAAAGCAAGATGATTGTGTATCAGCATAAGTTGTTGAGGAAGGTTATTCCAGTATTCAACTTTTTTTCATGCATTTGTTATTGGTTTATTAGGCAAAATAAAGGTAGCATAGGAGGCTCGCGTTGTGTGACAGACATGGACATGTCAGTGAGAACATGCTAAAAGGCCTGTGTGTCATCCAAACTTTATGTAAGGACAGAACCAAACTATGCAAGATGATTCAAAGATGGTGCATGTATCACAGTTTAAGACCCACTATATTTTCTTTATATATTTCTCAAAATTTGTTTACATTGTCTTGTTATTCAAACACAATGGACTCCTGAAGACCTTGCTACTGTATCTGACCAGTGCACATAATTATTAACTAGGTGGAACAAATTCCACATTATTATTACTGCAGGGCATCCGCTGAGAAGTAATTGCTTTATTTGAAGATTTCTATGCTTTAAATTAAATGCGGTATTGAATCAAATGTAAAATTAATGCAATAAAAGACTAAAGTTTTACAACTGTATACAAATGTTACATCATTTTAACATAAATATGGTGACTTTCTTTTTTCTTTAATTATTAAATAATTATTATTAATTAATCATTGCATTTATATAGCGCCTTTCAAGATACCCAAAGTGCTTTACAGGTCATTATTCATTCACTCAGCACCCAGTAGTGGTAAGCTACTATTGTAGCCACATCTGCCCTGTGGCAGACTGGTGGAAGCGAGGCTGCCAATCTGCACCATCGGCCCCTCCAACCACCACCATCATTTACGCACACACCACTTTCATACTAGGCGATGTGGGTGAAGTGTTTGGCCCAAGGACACAACAACAGTTTTTGCCACTTGCGTCCCACTCTGGCACCTGGAATTTCCAGTGGTCTCCCGTCCAAGTACAAACCAGGCCTGGCCTTACTTAGCTTCTGAGATCTGACAAGATCAGGCTTTGACAAGCCAGTATGGCCACAACAATTCTTTTTCTTTTTATTTGCTGCTATGCATCCTTTATCATCCTATTTTCAAAAACATGGGGAGTGGTTTGACGTAACATTTCCACATGGGACTAAAGTCAGTTTCTTGAGCATATTAAGCAGTTTGTCAGTGTTAAGTTAGTAAAATAAAAGGTAGAGAGAGAGAGAGAGAGAGAGAGAGAGAGAGAGAGAGAGAGAGAGAGAGAGAGAGAGAGAGAGAGAGAGAGAGAGAGAGAGAGAGAGAGAGAGAGAGAGAGAGAGAGAGAGAGAGAGAGAGAGAGAGAGAGAGAGAGAGATTTAAAAACAAAACTCTAAAGCACTTGAAGATCTGGTCGGGGTTATTCATGAACCAAAGTCAATGATTGTTTAATTAATCTAGAGTTATTGTTTTACGTTATTTAGTTTTCATGTGATTTGTGGGCTCAAGCGGGGGAGGCAGTGTGGGGCTAGGGGGCCCCACACTGCTGCTTTTTATAACCCTCATTTCTTCGGGTGTACCGAGTCTCGCGTATGACTGACCAAACTGCACCACACTGTCCCACACTGTGTGCGAAGTGAGGCTACGTCAGAGTCTAATCGTGCCAAAGCACCGGGGTCCACTAAAGCCTGTAGCCGCTTGGAGGAGCTGGTTTAAGGGACAGGCGCGCCGCGATGAACCGGTGAGCAGCAGTCTGCGGGGTTGGTTGTAGCCACATAGCAAGTTGCAGATGTTTTCAAAGAAGACTCAAGACAGCAATCACTAAACAAGTGAAACACTGGGTCTTTTTAGGTCATCTTTATATCATCGAAGGGCTTGCCTACATTTCTCCAATTCAACTTTTTCTCTGACAGCTGTCAAGGATTTTCCATTACTATGCACAACTATGTAGATAGCGTAACCTTTATGTGCAACCTTAGGTCAAAGAAATATGATTATGAAAAGTGTTCTTGGTAAAAAATTTTGTTTTCCCAGCACACCTGCCTCAGTGGAACACTACAAAGCCGCCATGTTGCTGAGCGGCGCCGGGGATGCTCTGGGATATAGAAACCAGCTATGGGAGTACAACGAGTCTGGACCTGCCATCCACCAGGTCAGGACCATACAGTCTATGGTCAGGACAGCCCACCGCAGTCATGAGGGCTCCTAGATGTGAACGCAGGATAGATGTCCCCTGTATTTGAATACCTTTATGAGATGCTTGAAGCCGTCCATTTGTCTTTTTAGGAGTTGAAGGCGCTTGGTGGATTGAAGAACATCAATGCTGAGCTCCCAGACTGGCCTGTGAGTGATGACACTGTTCTACACCTCGCCACCGCTGAAGGTTTAGCAACTGGTGAGGGCAAAATCCCGGGTTAGGCTACCTGCCAATCCAAAAGGTTCTTCCTTGTGACAAAAATTGAAATAACTTAAATTTGAGCTCTAGGCACTTCTATAATCAGCAAAAAGATTAAAGTTTATGGTTATATTGGCTTTGTTGAAAGCTTAAAGAATTTACTATGCTTTGTCTTTTAGTTTTACACATTTGAGTTGTTTACAAAATCCAAGCAGCCCACATCAAAACAGAACATTATACTTAGAATATACATTAGAAAGCTTATATTTGTGGAAATAATTATAAACAAAACATTCTTTTACCATTAATCAAAAACCTAACATTTGTCCAGTGATGGCCTGATCTATATTGGGCATACAAAACGCTGTGAACAGTTGCATAATTTCACTGTTTGCAGGTAAAGTAGGAGAGGAGGTGCTGCACGATGTGGCTGCTCGGTACGTGGAGGGGATGAAGGACATGGATGGGAGGAAACCAGGACCGTCTAGCATCCTTGGTAAGGATATCAGTCTTATGGAAAATCAAAACTATTAAATATGTAATAAAATAATTGTATTTTATTCAGGGGTATCTCAGCTGAAGCCGGGGGAGGAAGGTGGATACCGAGTGGCCTATAACCCTGATGGGACAGGCTGTGGAGCGGCAATGAGATCCATGTGTATTGGATTACGGTAAGCTTAACAAATTATTCCTGTGTGAAATTGTTGTTTATTTTGAGTTCTAATTCCTAATATTACATTATTTTACTTCATTATTATTTCAGTTATTTTGGGTCAAGTCAAATCCCTGTCACAAGGAGCTAATGAGCTTCTACACCAAACACCTATAATTAAAAAGCTATATCAACATTCATTAATGAACACCTTGCAAATATTCAAGAATGTAATTAAAACACATCACATTCACATTTCTTTTGTTGACCATGTTGGCATGCATGCTGTCAATACTCAACAGGTATTCCAGACCCGACCAGCTGTTGTCATTGGTGGCGGTTGCCGTAGAGACAGGCAGAATGACCCACCCTCACCCCACGGGCTTCTTGGGGGCTGTTACTTCTGCCCTGTTTACAGCATACGCCGTTCAGAGACGACCGATCACGACTTGGGGTTTAGGCCTGATCAACGAAGCCTGTCCAATCGCCAAGAGCTTTGTTCAGGGCCGAGAGTTTGCTGTGGAAGAGACACTGAGAGACTGGGACTACTTTAGTGAGAAGTGGCAGTGGTAAGACCTGTGGGTTTGGACTAATGTGATTCAGTGTTTGATGTTATCTATGTTTACACTTTCCACAGGTACCTTGATCTGCGTGGACTGTCGAATGGAGTGGGCCCTGTGATTTGGCCTGATGCATATGGTCCGGCTGAGAGAGATGAAGCCTACAAGAGCTTTAGTTTGCAAGGATGGGCAGGACGCAGTGGTCATGATGCTCCAATGATTGCATACGACGCCTTACTGGGGGCAGGAGCAGATTGGGAGGAGCTTATGAATAGGGCAGCTTTTCATGGTGGTAAGAAACACATCTTTACCACAGTTCACATTGATTTTTTTTTTTTTAAAGGCTTTACTTAAGTGGCTCTTACAACATTGGGTCTCATTGCTTGCAGATAAAAGGGCCTGTACCTGGTTTTAATTTATTCTTGTTGCTGCATAATTAATGGTTCATACATCATGCATTGTATTTACCATACAATACATACATGCACGCTAAAGAAGAAAAAAATGAGACTGTAAAATAATCTATTAATTTTACATAGCTTTTTCTTGGGTAATATATTACTAATATAGAAGTTATGGACAGGGCTAAGATTTTTCAGTCAATCAGGGTTACATAAAATCATTGTAAACCAACTGTCTGACACACCTGACAGTTGATCCTGTCAAGATGCATTTTCAAGAGTAACAAAAGTAAATAGACGGCATAGATTGGAGAACTATAATGAAACAATTGCATTATACAATCCCAGTTGTTCCTTTGCAATAGTGCAATATCACAATGGCAGAAAGGACTAAGTGGGAAGGGCTAAAAGTTCAAGCAAACTCAGACACATGGTTTGATATCAGGTACAGCCCCTTTCATTTAGTCAAGTTTTGGGTAGATCATGATTAAAGTGGGCTACTACATTCAGAAATATTATATCAGCTACTTAGAATGATAACATTATATAGCCTATTTCCTTACATATGTTCATGTTGTTGTATGACCTCTAGTAAGTTTTTAATGATTTCATTTGTAGGTGACAGTGATAGCACAGCTGTGATTGCCTGCTGCTGTTGGGGCGCCCTATACGGCACAAAGGGGGTCCCAGAAGGAAATTATGCCAATCTGGAGTACAGGGACCGACTGGAGAAATGCGGGGAGCAGCTGTATGCCCTGTCACACTGAGACAGTCACATTAAGGGTTACGCATACTACTAAACCAAGCCAAATGATGTGTGCCAAACACACCGTGACCCAGACAATGCTCGTGCCACTGTCATTAGAGGTCCCCCTAGTGACCACTTACGATAATACACAGGTTGCACTCCAATATAATGAGAATGTGGGAAATCTCTAGGGAGGTTAATTACTTTGTTTTGCCAGACTACATAATTATCACCTGATGAATGTCAGATTGCAATTGTGAACAAATGAGTGTTAACTAGTACCAGAGACAGTTAACAAGTAAAAAACAAAAAAATGTAGTTGAGTTAAACTTTATTTTTTGTCATTGTATTTTTTTGTTTTTTTTTTTGTTTTTTTTTTTGTCTTGTCCGTTTTATTTTAAATTTCCTACAGAGAGGGGTCACGGGGCGGTTTATAACTACAGAACTAATTTAAAAAATGCTAAAAATCCCCTCTCCTCTTCAAATCCTTTCTTATGTATTGTAGAGTGCCTCCATTTTTTATTTTCTTGGTTCTTAAAAACAGGTTGGAAGATAAAGCGTCCTTCTGTGTTTTTACGTCTCCGTGTGGTCAGCTCACCAATGTGCCTCATGCTTCTCAAAGGGGGAATTGGAGAGGAGAGCAGGATGTTGTTGTCTGCCATCTTCTTCATTAGCATCAGAAAGGTTGATCCTTTCGTGAAATTGACATTTGGACTGAAGAAATGTTACAGCAGAACAATAAGGTGCTTGATAAGGGATCCTCCTCTCTCCTTGGTACTGTCCTGTCATACTGGTTTAGTACGAGTCGGTGCTTGGTCTTGCCTCACATCCAGCGGGCAGAGGGGGGTTGTCAGGGTTCATTCCAGGGACAATTTTGGTGGGGTTGGAAGAGGTTTCAGTTTCCAGGTGGATGAAACTGAGGTGCGTGTGTCTGTACCTGCATTGCTGTGAGAAAAGAAAACATTATTAGGTATTTTATGAAACACTGATGCTCTAATGTTCTTATTTGGTAAGTAGTTTCCCTCTTACCTTGTGGATGTTGTATGTAGAAATGTTGGGGTGCTCCCTGTTGGGGTCCATGCTGTGGGTGCTGAGGCACTGCACCAGGGCCTTGCTGAGGAGGAGGCAACATTACTAACTGAGGCTGACCATGGCTGCCAGAATGATGAGGACCAGACATGGCTCCTTGTACATGTGCCTGAACAACAAAGTGGTGTCAGTATTTGGAAAAACAGCTGTATTTTGTATACACAGAAAGCAAACATGGTTAATTCAAAAGAATGAATCATTATACCTGTGCTATCTGGCCCAGAGGGTATGTGGGAGGGATGCCTTGGTGAATGCTATAACCCTGAATGGGGTAGGATCCTTGTGGAGATGTGTGACCCGGTGGCATGTTGGGAGGAGTGGGTGCTGAGAGAGGGCCGGAGTGGTATAGGGACTGGGGCTGAGGACCTGACTGGGCATTCTGAAATTAATACAAGAAGAACATAAAGATGCAGTAGTAGCACCTAAGCCACAGTTTACTGCCCAGCTGAGTGGTACTAAATTAGGCTAAAAGAATGTTTTTAATAAAGGCTTCAATTGCTTTCTACTACAATCCAGCACTGAGATGTCAACAACCCATACAGCACAGCAGTTTTTCCATTGTTGTACCTGTCCAGGGCTGGGTGCAGCATGTTGTGGTGGGGCCTGGTTTCCTGTTGGGGTACTAGAGGGCTGAGGCTGATGCACTGGACCTGAATGGTGAGGAAAGGACTGTGGAGCTTCACAGAGATAAAATGTGTTAGCCAAAATAATTAAAAACAAAGACGTTACTTTATCCTACACACCATAAATGCCTTGCTGTGGACCCTGAGGACCCTCTCCTTGCGTAGGGAACTGTGGGGCACCAGGCGGGCCCAAGGCTTGTGCGTGTGGACCTCCACCTTGCCCAATCATGCGGGCTCCTCCTTGTAACATGGGGTACATGTGCTGACTCGCGTAGGGCGACATGGTCTGGATGACCTGCTGCTGCCCGTACTGCTGTGGGTTGTACTGAAGGTAGGACTGAGGGTATGGAGATGCCACCAGAGGAGCCCCTGCGGCTGAAGCAGGCTGGATTAGGGGAGTTGCGGACCCTGTGTGATCTGAACGTGGTGCCACAACTGAGCCTGGACACCATTATTAAGAAATATGAGGCAAAGAAGTAGAAGACTTTTTTTTTTTCAACACATAAAACATTACTAGAAAAAGTGCATATTACCTTTGGCCCTAGGGTATTTCCCTTGGTTGACTGTTGACATAGTGTACTGATACATTTGTGGTGCCTGTAAAACAGATCGATGTTGACTCGTTAAATAAGTGCATTGTGATTTGTGTGTATGTTGTCTTCAGGAAACTTCATGGACGTACCGGTACAGAGTGAATCTGAGAGACGTAGGAGAGGTAGGGTGGGTTGTACAGTTGTCCTTGTCCTGGAGCAGGGTGTGGTAGGAACCCAGGACTTGGGGGTGTGGGCCGAGGAGGCGTTGGTGCAGTGTTTGGTTTTGTCTGAAATGCAGACATTTTATTTGAACGCAAGATCATTTTTTAGCTTTTTTTCATTGTCAAGATACCTACCATGGGCATTTGTGTTTTAATAGGGTTGAACTCCTTAGCATTGGGATTTAACGTGGACTTCTTTACTTGACTAAAATATTAAGAGAAAAATGTATTATTCATTTTACAGTAAGAGCAATGTGTGGTATTTTGAGAAGTAGCGTGATAATTAGACTTACTCAGTCACTCCATCTGCGCGCTCTGGGTCAGACCTGTTCTCATCACTTCCTGGGGTCCTGGCGGGCTGAGGAGTGGCTGGTGATTGCCTGTCAGAGCCGGTGGTCATTGTTGTGGTGCCAGGAGTAGCAGCAGTGTCTTTAGGTTCTTCAACTGGGACCGGAGAAGCTTGTGGTTGTGGCTGGGATGCAGGAGTCTGAGATTTGGTTTCGGTGGGTGTGTCCGGTTGAGATTTTCCTGTGCTGGATTGACCAACATCAGTCACAGTTGGAGGGGTCGCTGTGGCAGGTGAACCAGGAGAGCTGCTGCCACTTGCTTGTAGCTATGAGGGAAAAAAAAGTTTAGAATAAGACAAGAAAAATACATATATTATATAGTATACATTCAGTCTAATAAGACAAGCACTACATGAAGTGCTTGCTCTTACCCGAAATTCTTTGCCGAATTTGCGCAGCTCTTCAATTTGTGACCTCTGTTGAACCGATGGAGCTGAAAGAAATAAAAAAAATAATATTTGACAAAGAGGTTGATAGAATTAAAAAAAAAAATTTTCTTAAATGCAAACCTTTTGTACTTTTGCTCTCATCTGTACTGCTTGGACTTTCAGCAGAGCGTTCCTTTGCAGCTGCACAAAGGATCTCATTCACTGCACAGACAAATGCATTGTTAAATTTCAACTATTAAGTTTGTTTTACATAATTAACAAGTCATTGTTTTAATCAGAATAATTACATACCATCTACAGGAAAGAGAGGAGCGGGACCTGATGTCTTCTGGGCAGGCAATGAGACAGACGAGGTGTCTAAATAAGGTGTGTCCTGTGAGGATCCTGACTTAGGAGAGCGAGAAGCTACAAAAGCACAAATGTAAAAGAACTTTTAGTGGATTAATATTAAAAAAGATAGAGGCTGCACAGAGAGAGGCCTGTACCTGTGGACTGAGAATGTGAATTTGAAGGGCGAACTGATCGACTGGACTGTAAAGGTCTTTGGGCTTTAGGAGAGGTTCTAGCAGACACTGAAGGAATAAAATAAATTTATTATACAACTGATTAAAATTCTTAAACTCAGCCACTGTTGACACATATTTAGGCCCTTACCTCCATTGACAGGCCGGCCAGCGTCCGACAGTGAGTGAGGAAGTGAGTGGGAATGAGGAACTGTGTTTGTGTGGGGGGCAGGAGGGCTGGCCGGGGAGGGGGCTGCAGGAGTGGGTGTGGAGGGTGCAGGTCCTCCGGGTGAAGCAGGAGTGTAAGGACTGGCAGGTCCAGAGCCAGGGCCTGGGCTGGGACTACCCTGAGGATGGTGCGGCGCATAGGCCCCACTGCGGCCTGACAAAGGGCTACTCCTCTCTGACGGGGAGGTGCCAGGCTGAGGGCCGGTGGCTGAAGGTAATGGGGGTCTGGGAGAAGAGGATGAAGAGGAAGGAGGGGTGTTTCTGTAACCTCCACGATGAGATGGCGGTCCACCAGCTCTGTCCCGATCACGGTTCATTTCCCTCTGGCGCTGGTGCAATGGGATGTACTTGCCCTCTCTGTTTGACAAACACCTCAGTGCTTTGTAGACTTATTTGGTATACATTACATGTGCATGTTGTAGAAATAATTAACAATAATAAAAAACAAAGTAATACCTGCTACTTGCGCCAGGACTGTCTCTGCCCCGTTCACGCTCTCGGGGGCTCTCTCGACCCCTCTCCCGGTCATTGCCCTCTCTCACTACAGAGCTGTACTTGTCTTCCTCGCTCTTTCCTTCATCGTTTTCGAGGTTGACACGATGACGATACTGAGGACTGGACTCAATCTCACTGGCGAGGCGAGCAGCGCGGGCCTCTCTTTGACGAAAAACCTCAGAGTTCCCTCTTTCTAGAGGAACACTAACAGCCAATACAAACTTATTACCGGTATCTGACAAACTTTCTTTTTTTTCTTACAAAAAAGAAAATTAAGAATCATGTAAATAGAACTTACGTATACATTGAGAGGCTGGAATCATACGTTGATGTGACTCCATACTTTACTTCGTTGTAACGAAACATCTCGTTGGCGTCCCATCCATTAGACTGTGTGAAAAATAGATCAATAGATTAAATGTGTCAGCGTGTTTGATGTTAATGTTTACATTTACTAATAAATATTGCAAACCTAATATTTCAGATGTATAAACTATGCTGAACACAATTTTATTTATTTGCATTTTTTATTGCCTATTCTCAACAGATTCTCCAGCAAAATCTTAGTAGGATTTATACCCAGCTGTGGATAAACATATTATAGAGTTTTGTGTGCACTCACAGTATCGTTTTCAAGGTCGTAACTCTCTCCATTATTGTCCCCAGCGTCCCATCTTTGTAACACCTTTTCTTTGTGCTCTCCATTGACACGAGTGGAACTAATAGCAGTATCTGTGAAGGTATCTACAACACAAATGCAACGATTGTTAAAAAAAAATAAATAAATCACTAATCCCAACATTATAAATAGGTAATTGCTTGAATTGTG